AGTGGAAAAGAGAAAGAATAGAAGTGCCATCGGTGGCAGGTGTCAGAAGGGTGCGATAACATGGAGACAAACTGATAGCATCGTCCAAACCCGGAGCTAGAAATGGCCTTACAGCAGGCGCGCACTCCGCTGACACGCACCGCGACACCAGCAAGCGCAAGCCTGGACAGACCAGAAGCCCAGTCACCCAGAGACGGCCAAGTCCTCCTCAGATCTCGCCTTCGCAACATGACGTGTCGCCGCCTGGACGCTCGTCATTGTATTGTTATTGTGAACGTGCGACAGACAAAAGGCTAAAGTGTAAAGCTTGGCATCGCAGGCTGAACTGTTCCTGTTGCTAGTGTTCTGCCCAGGCGCCTTTTGTGTTATTGAGCCATCAGCCTGGAATAAAAAAAAAAAAAACATGCCCGTTGGATTAGGCTACTAAATAATTCATCAAGTCCCGTTACATGGATTCTGAGTGGAAATGCACTCTATTTATAGTGGCAGCCCAAAAGGTCAGTAGAGTAGTGAGCGCTAGGGCCCTTGTTTTTGTTCTCATATATGGCTGCAGAGAGGAGGCTGTGGAATCGTACAGGCAGCAAATGAAGCAACTGCAGTCTGTCAGAAATGCATGTGGCAATGTTCAATTTCTCTTTTCCAAACCTATTTGTTATCTACATTTTACAAACAACGGCGCTTCACACATTTATTTGACCTCCAACCTGACACTAAAGCCAATCACAATTGTTGCTGCTATGAACGAGGGCTTATCAACTCAAACCAGTAATCGATTAATTATTTTTATGAACGGAGATGTAAAGTGACATTTTTTAAGGCAAGCACTGGTTAGACCTGCCTGTGCCCACCCCAGCAGCTTCCTGATTGGTCAATATTAATTCAAATCCTTGAGGCCCAAATCTTACTAGTTGTAGTTAACCCAAGGGGAATCACTGTTTTCAATTAATTATTGTTGGAATATAATTACTTTACATAATAGTACAGTGTCCCATGGTCAGAAATATACATTATTTAAAAAATGAAATACAATTTAAGTGACTGACATCACCTTTAATCATGCTGTGAAGAAGTTTTATGGCTCCCAACATGCCTATGATTGATTGATGAATCTATAATAAAAAAAAAAAACAATAAATAGAGGTCTCATCAAACTCATATTTATCAAATAATCATTAATTAAAGCCCAAAAAAACGTGTTTGTTAGAACACTACACAATAGTCTGCTGGGTTACACGCCAGGATTACGCCCTAGTTAAGTTATTTTAAAATATTGATTCAGCCCAGGCTTGACTTCCAAACTCATTCATTTAAATATTGAAACACATATTAATATTCAGAGAATTCTTGCATATTACATGGTTTTACAATATGCAGCTCCTGGGTCAATAAATCAAATGGCCCAATAAATCTCACAAAGTTCAAGCTCCTCGTATACAACAGTGTCAGAGAAGATGCTGCAAGACATGATTTAGAATCATCAAGCAATCATACTAAAACAGTCTGATATGAAATGGGGAATAAAGTACAGGGGCACAGCTGGCAATTCTTAAATGCACTCTTTTCATTCTTGTTTACACGGCAAAAATTACAAAATAATGGGTTGCGTATTCTTAAGCGTTTTTACGTTATTCGATTAAGTAAGGTATCTAAATTCATATAGGGTGTATTCCGCTAATTTTCATTGTATGTTTATTTATTTTTTGTGTGCTCCTTGTGTGTGTTTACTTTTGTATGTGCCGTGCAACTATACCATTTCCTCATTGTTGGGCAAATAAAGGTTCTCTTATCTTTCATAGACAGTCACAAAGCACTTGACAGTTGTTGTGGCCATTCTTTCACTCCACATGGTGATAGCAGCTATACAAGAGGCACATGGCAGATCTACTGTACATGTTTTTAGAGGGAGGGGAAACTAGCACCTAAAGGGAACCAACGCATACACGGGGAGAACACGCAAACTAATTTTGACATTCTTACAATCAGATTTGCCAAAGTAAGAAGCAAAAATGTAATTGAAAAGAACGCTATTTGTCACTCAGTATAGAGAAAAAAACTGACAACTCATCCATTTTCTTCCCCTTCTGGGTCGGGGGGGGTCTCGGGAGGAGCTGAGATCTTTCAGCGGGAGCTTCAGGCAAAGTGGGGTTAAGTGTCTCAAAAAAACTGACAGTTTGTTGCCAAAGTCTCCCTGCCTGTAACACGTGTAGCTTCTGAACCCTGACTACTGATGCAATCCTCCTGTTGGGGTTTAGCTTGAAACATTAAAATTGTGGTGCCATTTTTTTGTTTATGATTTGTGGTATTACAAAGAAAAAGTACAACTCAAATTACACTCATTCTGCTCTCTGATTGGATAATTTGCTTGAAACCTTAAAATTATATCATGAAAATCTTTAATTGTATAAAAGAGGAAAAAACTTATTTAAAGCAAATTTTTGTTTTTAAAATGTCCTACCCTGCACATTTTGAACAGCATTGCACACTGCTCTCGCATGACCCATAACGCACACACCGTTGTGCATCAACATAAATATTCCACAGCGGACTATGATAAGCATGTGTTTTGCGGTAATCGGCGTGTGGTCGGTTTGAATGTGTGTATCTCCTGGTCAAACGAGGCTGTGACCAGGCGCGCTGTCCCCGCCTGATCCGACATGGCCCAACATGCTTCTAATTAGAGGACGTCCTTTGCGGCGTTGACCAGGTTATACTTAGCCTGCCCGCTGACATCCGACTGCCTGACATTTCCAGCTGGTGCCGCCTGTGACCCCGCGCCACTGCCCCTGAACTTGAAGGTCACCAACAACTCCAGTCAAAAAAAATACATAAAAAAAAAAAGTTCAAATAGTTCTCTTGCCTGCTGCGGTGTGGCACGGTGGTGCGCTCGTGTTACATAGGTGGTCTGAACGTGAGCACCTGTCCCCTCTCGTGCCCCCCTGGCATAGATCATCATTAATCAGAGAAGCCGGTGCTGGCGCAGATTGATGATGCGGGCACAGGGCGGCGGGCCTGTGGCGAGGGCAGAGATGTTAGGTGAGCGGATCGCGGCGAGGGCCAGAGGAGACCGGACAGCGCACGGCCCAAGAGTGATGGCCTCTTGTCTGCTACAGTGCTATGCTGTACGCTGGCCTCTGCTTTTGTCCAGCTCGGAGATTGTTTTAAGGATTATTTGTGCTTCAAAGTTTACACACCCTAGACAGAGATTTAGGCCATATTTAGGAGATTATGAATGATAGCACAAAAACTTTTCTGGGGGATGGAGACTTTTAATCAGTGTAGGAAAAGGAGTTTTTTTGTTAGTGGTTGTGTGAAGTTATTTTCAAATAAATGACTTTACACAGTCACTAACAATGAGTGAAAAAGTGTTTGTGTTATCATTCATAAAGTCAGAAATACAGTATGCGCGGGAATTTATTTTTATGTATTTATTTAAATCTCTGCACTTTCCTTTCACTGAAATGTAATTGTAATTCAATTAAAGTTATTTTTCCAATTCAATTTATGATTGTATAGCCCTAAACCACAACAGCAGACTCTGAGGATTTTATACATTTGTTGATTTGCCAACAACAGAATTGATTCTATACCGTCAAAATAGCCAGAAACTAATATAGCAGTTGAGTCATTATTTTTTGTCCCTCGATAGTTAAAAAAAACAGCGTAAATGGGTCATGCCCAAATATGCTTTGCAAGATCGTACAACCGTCAAAAAACAGTCTGAATCCGATATTCTTGTACATCTCAAATACACCCAGGGCCACGAAAAGCGGAACTTGGCCCGCTGTTCTTTTCTTGGTGCCCATCGGAACTTGCTCCATGTCTAATTATTAATTATTCATCTGAGGCGTATTAGATGTGGCCCAGATTCACTTGAAGACTTGAGAGCAAAGGGATCCACGCAGCAGACCAGTCCCTCAACCCAGGCTACTGCACTGATTTAGGGATAATGCCGATCGCCATCGCCATATCCACAAACTGCAGCAACTATTTTATGTTCTAGCGTCTGAAGTAAATTGAGAGCATGTCAGAGTTAGCGAGGTCCGAGGATTCACATTCAAAGTGATACGTATCAAAGAATAAATGGCTAAGACTAGAAGGAGAGTGTTCTAAATGGTTTCCCGAATGAAGAGGGGATGGCCGGATGCGAGGCCCTGTGGCACTCTGCCGTCTGTTTTGGGCAAAATGGAACACGGTGATTCAATTTGCATGAAGTCAATTTGGTTTTGGTTTTAAGTCCAAAACTGATATCTAACATTTATGTTTGTGCTTTTAGGACACCTTCAGGAAATGAAAAATGCCCCAAAGGGGTTGTGATTGAGACCTGTCTGTGTGTTTGGAAAACAGTAAAAGGATTCATTATTAGAATATATATTTAGTTAAAAACAAACTTTTTCTCTGCACAGATACATGATCTTGAATTGTCTAATATGTCTTGAAAATATGACTGCTTTTTTTTATAAAGGGACAGTATGTTTCTAAAAAAAATAAATCTAATTTTATATATGTCCTTGGATAACTGGTCACATGTGCAAAGCCTATTTGACCTTTTTGACAGTTTAAAGTAGAGTTATTATTTAACAATAAATACAATGTACATGATGTCCACAATATTTATGTCAAAAGCAGATTATTCAATCAGACAGGCCCTCATTTGGGTTGCTACTTAGTTAAGTGAAAGGTCCCTGGTCTTGGCTTCCTTTTTTTTTTTACATAGTAAAATTCACAAACAAAAAGATAGCACCATAAATCCATAAAGTAGTCATAAGTAACACCCATAGTTTGCACTGTTTTGAGTGAAACACCAGTTTCACAAGCACTTTACAACTGTTTCCTCTGCTCTTTATTGGAGGCACATGCAGGTCCCATTTTACATGTTTCAGTGGCTGTAGAAACCAGAGCAATCTGTGCCGACAGGATTGTGATTGTAATGGTAATTGTAATGTCTTTGTGTTTTGTGCCAAGAAATGTACTTTATTAATCCCAAAAATCTTCCTCTATAGCGGCCAACCAAAGGGAGTCCTTGAAGTCTCCGTTCCACCTGAAGGAGGAGCCTAAACTGGAGGAGGCCCTCAGCCCCAGACCAGCCTCCCAGTCCCAGGGGCAGACGGGGTTCCCAAGTCCCTTCTGTCATGACGGCCTCCTGGGGGCCACTGCCACTCCGGAGCGCTCGGCCACACTCAAACCACGAGAAGACAGCCCCCTGTCCAAGAACAACCTTCTGAACCATGACATCAGCATGAAGGTGGCATCAGAACTGCTCATCAAGCTCTCAGGTACGTCCCTTTTAAAGCGTCTTCAACCCGGCATACAGGCGGGGAAATATGAATATTTCTTGAACATTTTACAGGTAACTATTGCATTTTAATTTGAGATTTCTGTTTTGTATTGAGGATAATGTTCAAAGTGCATGAGGAGAATTCAAATTTGAAGGAAAGAAAAAAAGTATTTAGTGCTTTATTTTGTTTTTGACGTTTTCACTGTTGAAATAAAATGACAGCAATTCTCACTTAAAGGTAAATAGGAGGATTTTCTACTTCCGAGTGCTCATCAAGATTAATTGGTCCTCCCAGTTGTCAATCAATCTAGTGATACGTCCGCATCAAGACCAGAGTTTTTTTCTTAAAGTGTTTTTATCCTAAAATTTAGGAAAATCTTCCCATGTACCTTTTAAGTTAGAAACTGGACTCACCTTTTTATTTGTAGGTACAACAGTCAAATCAGTACAGAGTCACAGTATCTAACTTTGAAATATAAGTTGAAAAATTGAAATTTGTAATGAAATCTTTGTAACTAGTTCCTCGCTCTCAAAACAGATTGGTTCTATCACTAGTTTAAATTGTGGTTGTGCAGCCCTACATGGAAGCCAACACGTTTTCTAGTTAGTGTAATAAATTTAAGTCACTTGAAAATAATTTTATCCAATTACGTCCAATTCCTTTCATGCTCCTTACAAGAGTATACCAGATGATTTAAAGTTGTTCTGAAATTCATAAAGAGGATTTGTTTATTCATACACATTAAAAGGATTTAAGGTCAAGAAGGGTTCAAATAAAATAGATACAAAATTACAGCTAGAATCCGGCAATGCAGCTGCCCCGGCAACTCGGTAACATTGAGAGTTCAAAGGAGTGGCCTCTGTCTAACATTCTGCATGAGGGAAATGTCAAAATGTGTATTCAGATTTAGACGTATAAATACTTTGCCCTTTACTCTTTCGTCATAGAAAAAATGTTGTATCCTCATAACCACAAAGCGTTGTGTGTCCATTTATATCCAATAACACTGGAGCATACCATTGCTACATATTGCATTGATCTGGACTATTTTTTATTCATTTTACTTTATTATTATTATGGTATGTATTATTATTCAATATTACGATGTGCTTTTTTAATTAATTGTTTAAGAAATACAAAAAAAGTATAGTCATATTACATTCAAGAGAATAGATTCGGTATTAACCCTATGCACAAGGTTTTGGAAAATTACATTAGACATGCATGTTTCTACTTAATCAATTAAATTATCATAGATAGACTTTAATATGACTTCTAAATTCAGTGGCAAACAACTTAAAGACTTTTGTTCTTGATAACCAAACCTTAATCGCTAAGTGTCATACTGAAATATTATCTTCAGTAGAAAGAGTAGGGTAAATACATACCCTACATACTGTCGTTTTGCTTGATCGTGATGCCATAGTGGTACAATGACATGATTCTATTACAGGACTTAGACAGAAGCTTTTAGATAGAAGGGGCAGAGTTACATGGTTGTGCCAGAGGTCTCTGATTTGCCGTGGATAGATCTAAAAACAATACCAGGTTTGTCACTACTCAGATGGAAAGTAGATTTTGATCATGTATGTCTCCCTTAAGGCTCATTGACCTTGACCTAACCTGTCTTTTGGCATCATGCTATAGTCGTTGTAGTTTAGTCTTTGTATTTTCTACTCTCAGCACAACAAAAACATTAGCTTGTCCTCAGGCTTCATTGTATTTTTCAAACTCTTCATCAATATCTATGTGGAAATTACCGTTTTGCAATTATTATTGACAGAGTGTGCGTACTGACGAATTCAAATCAATTCTCAAACTTATTTTAGCGTTCACCATAAATTGCTTTTATTGGGCAGGTGTTTAGTCTCCTGCATGCTGCTTCACAGCCGATAAAGATTCAAACAGCAGTCCCTGTAGTATTAAATCGAGCTAAAATTATCATCTGGTAATTGCCAGCCGAACTGAAATTGAATGAAAATGCTATCTTAATTTCTTTTAATGCGCTTTGAAGCGTGCACTGCCCTGCATCATTAACCTTGCAGCTAAAACCATTTTTAAAAAGTTGTGTTTGGAGGCACTTGTGACAGCAGTGTTTATAATCACAATGAGACTTTAACCAATCCCTCTGCTGTTTATGAATTGGTATAGTTTAGGTGATCAACTGAAATTGTATTTCATTTTTAAATAATGACGAGGCACCTTACTGGGGAATGGGCAATAAGTAAATAGGATTTTTAGAATAGCCCCTCCCCTTGGCATAACCTCAACCAGTGAGATTTACAGGTTGAATAACAGTTAAACCATAAGGAATGACAAATCAGATGCCTTCTTTTGAGGGGGAAACTCCAGCTTACCTTAGCAACCATGTTAGCAACGTGTCTATACCTGTTACGGCTCAAAGCTGCCCATATAAGGAAATTGTGTTCAAATCAGCTTCTTCTGCATTTGGCTAACACTATGGATGACTTTGGCGCTCGGTCAGTCCACTCCTAATAAACTGTCTCGAAGTATGATATGGTCTACAAGGGTAGAAGTAGCTCTGTTGGTACAGATTGTGTCCTCTGAGGTTTGGTGGTTCAAATCATGCTCCCGATATAAACACCACTGGTTGTGCAGTGTGAAACCAGCTTCGATTGGTGATTGCTGCCGTGTAGCCTTGGGCAACACACTTTACCCGCGGGGGGGTGTCTGCATACACTGGTGTACGAAAGTGGGTGAGAGTGGGTGCACAGTTCCTTGTTGAGGAACGCTTTGAGTGCCTTGAAAAGGTAGAAAAGCATATGGACCCATAATCCAAGCAGTGATGACGCAGATGGACCAGCATAAATACATAGAGCTCTGAAGTGGATTTCTTTGCCAAGTTACCACCGTTGCCTTTTCCCTCTCCTGTCACTTTCCTCTACATTGAACACTCTGCTCGGATACAGGCATCTGGTCGCAGACAAACACGATATACTGGTGGCTCTTTTTTCTTCATGCTACAATATGTTCAGCGCCTGGTGGACAACTCCCCTTCCCATGTAGTGACTTTGAGTGACGGGCGCCTGCTTACAGCCGTCTGCTGTCGTCTCTATGCTCTGCTATTTTTCTTTTCTGGTTGATGTCACAAGCAGAGTTGACAGATCAAATTCGCTTCATCAGAAAGCATTTTATCACATAGTTCGAGACGCCCTGCATGAGTTTTAGCCCAATTTTGACCAGTCATGTTCAGGCCGCATTAAACTTGCTGGGCTTTATTTTTTATTAAATTGCACTAAATAATATGAAGGGAGCGTTTTTTATTTATTTTTTATATATTTTATATTTTACAAATGTACACATGGAAAAAAGTACAGACAAAATGGGGCCATATATATTACTATTTCAACCCACATTGAACATAGCATATAGTGTGTATATGAGAACTATTGGTGTGAGGTGTGGTTCACATGCGGCTCCCCCTGGCCTCAGTCAATCTTACAAAATCACAACAGTAGTTGTCTAGGAGGAGTTTACAAAGTTCTTGATATGCCTACCAGATCAGATAATCAAACCGTTAGAACACAGAAAATGAAATAATGGCAAAGGTCCGTGTATTTTTTTTTCAATGTTTTTCCATCCATCCATCCATCCATTTTCTTCCCCTTAATCCATTTCTGGGTCGGGGCGGTGGCAGTCAGAGCTGTACCCAGTACACAGAGCACCGTTCAATGTTTTTTTTCAAATTAAAGTCAAAAATGAAATACCGTTCATTTTTCATCTTGATGAGGAAAAGGAAAAACACGAAAACACGACCTATTGAATAATGGTTTCAGGGCGGTTTGATTTTGTTTTTTCGATTTGACGCACAACCGGAAGTTGGCTGTGCACCCATATTTTCGTCGGTTGGAAACAGCGGTAGGTGCTTGTGGTGTCGGCCCATAAAGAAATGGGCCAGTGGCGAAATCTGGTGTTTTACAGAGGCACATACTACATGCTAACCTAAATACTCCACATACGACACCATATATACAAAGAGGCCGTAGTGGAGCTGCGGTTCGGTTCCACAGAAGATTCTGCCAGAACCCTGAGCCAGAGAAAGAAGAAGGAACCATGCCATATACATGAAACGCCTTTCCAGTCGCGTCAAGAGGTGATCAGCCGATATGCGCGCGGAGAAAGCAGGCAGGCGCACGGAGTGCGCGCATGCATAGCCAAAGCAACGGAAAGGGACACTTTACTTATTTTTATTTAAGGATTCCTGGACTCGTTTTGTGGTGCTCAACTGTATTTTCCAGACAGAATCTAATTGCGCAGCCTTTCTAATAGACAAGAGACAATACTGATAAGTAATGGATGAACGGTTGTAGATACAGTATGTAATTGTGTGCTCTTCTATTCTTAATATATCTACGCATCATGTGTGTGTATGAGTTTACTTAAAGTTTAAATAGAAATAAATAATTATTGGTGATTTGTATTCATGTACCGGATTAATGTGAACCTTTAGAAGTTAGAGAAAATATCTCCAACTGTTTGCCACAGCACCTGGAGTTATGTTAAACCTTATGAATACATATTACCTCCATTTAGTAGACTTCGAAGGGAGACTAATTACATTTTTCCCCCCTATAGGCCTACTTGAAACACCCAGACTTGAAACACCCAGATTTATCTTTACATTTAGCTCAATATGTAACGATTCCAACCAGCATATATTTGTGAGAGGAAACAAAAAAAATAAGTTACAAAATGCTTTAATTGAATGAATGCATTTGGAGAAGGCCTTCATAATTGTTTTTTTTATAAAACAATACACTTTATGTGCTTGAACCTTTGAAAAACAGTACAGAAACCACCCTAAAAGGTTAAGTTTAGGCAACATGGACTGTATATTGGCTTCCAACTGAAACAGAACTCTATACAACCTGAGCCCAACCTGTGCCCAACCTGTAAGACATGACTTTAGCTGTACCTTTGGGTAACATTTTTAAAACATTAACTAAATTATATATAGCGACTGGGGGGGTCAAACT